TCTTTGGTCTTGTGGGTGAATGTAGCTGCCCAAGCATGTTCTGCACCATGTTGGTGTTGTGGTCTGTGCAAGGGAAGGGGCAGGGGCCTTGATCCAAGTCAGGGAGACTTTCCCTTCCAGGCAGCCCCCAGCGGCCTGCCGAGCTCAGTTGCTGTGTGTTCCCAGGCCTGCTGAGCTTCAGCCTTTTTGGGATCCCGCTGGTCGGGGCAGACATCTGTGGCTTCTCAGGCACCACCTCAGAGGAGCTCTGCACTCGCTGGATGCAGCTCGGCGCCTTCTACCCATTTGCCCGAAACCACAACACCCAGAATGAGAAGGTAAGAGGGGGACAAGGGGATATGCCTTCCACGGGGGTCTCCAGAGCTGATGCTTCCGTTGTGGGATGGGCACAGGGCTGTGGGGGACACTTCAGTGCTGGGAGGATTATGATGGAGGTATTGAGAGGCACTCCCTTCTCTAAAGGCCTCCAAGACAGGACATTTTAGAGCCTACTTGTCCTGCCTATTGACTCATTTTCTGGACTCTCCCCAGGCCCAAGACCCCACAGTGTTCAGCTCAGAGGTACGGACGGCCATGAAGGAGGTGCTGCTGACACGCTACGCCCTGCTGCCCTTCCTCTACACACTCTTCCACCGGGCGCACCTCCTGGGCGACACAGTCATGCGGCCCTTGTTTTTTGAGTAAGAGACTAACCTTGCTGGAACAAGGATTCCCTTTGTACTGCCCACGACCAGCACAGCTCCCCTCCCCAGGACCCCCCACCCTCACCGAGCCAGGAGGTTTGGCCCCCCCCTCCACCAGCCTACAGCTGGGCATGTCCCAAACCCCACTGAGCAGGCATGACCCTTGAAAGCTGATGATGCAAATCTGCACTCCAGCCCCCAGCCACGGTCTCTTAATGCCCCTTGTCCACAAACAAGCATTCCTGACATGCAGACACCTAATGGAGCACAAGATACTCTATTGTGGCTCGGAGGCTACTGTGAGGGGCCCCAGGCCAGCTCAGGTCTGTTGTGTTCCCTCCCTGCTGTAGGTTCCCACAGGACACGGTCACGTACTCCATCGATAGGCAGTTCCTGTGGGGGGAGAGCCTGCTGGTGACACCAGTGCTGGAGCCTGGAGCAGACTCGGTGATTGGCTACTTCCCCCGAGGGCTGTGGTACGACTACTATACGGTGAGGAGCGGAGCATACTGGGAGGTGGGTCCAAGTGGGGCTATGTGACTTCGCATCCTGTCCGGCACCGTACCTGACGCAGTCCCGAGAGCGTACGGGAATTGATACACCAGCTGGGTCCGAAGGCTGAGCAGGGCTGGGGTGGGGTGAGGGAGCAAAGCAGAGAGGGCCAGCGTGGAAGCTGAGAGGAGTCTCCTCTGCTTTGCATCCTCCTGGCTGCAAATAGGCACCAAAAGGTCTGAGGAAGACCCAGCCAGGCACCTCCACACACAGCATCACCCATTACCCTTAAGCCAGAACCACAGCCACCCTCAGGGGGCATCGGGGGAGTGCAGTGGCCCCCTCCTCATTTCCGAGCATGCCCCTGACTGCCCCTTTCTGCCTCTGCAGGGCTCATCTGTGAACAGCAGCGGGGAGATGCTGAAGATGGCAGCTCCGCTGGACCACATCAACTTGCACATCCGGGAGGGTGCTGTTCTCCCCACCCAGGTGGGTGGCCCAAGCCTGTGGAGCGGGGGTCTGCCATAGAGCATGGAGCTGCTTCAGGGGCTGCCAGCTGGCATGTTCCAACACCTGCCAGCTTAGGGAATGCAGTAACCTTCTGCTGTGGGCTAGGGAGGGGGCTCTGACCCCTCTCAAAGGCCCCAAGTGTTTAACCCCCACTTTAGCTAGTGAACGCTTCTTTGGGGGACCATCAGCACCACTCCTTGCGTCCACTGTAAGTCTCACCAGAGCCTCAGTGCCACCACCTGGGTCCAAGCATGGGGTGGTCTTGGGCAGGGAGGAACGGGGCCCCTTTGCCCTTCCAAGGAGGCATGGGACTGTCCTTCAGCATCATGAAGCAGCTCTGGCAGGTCCCCGCTCAGTGCAGCAGCAGCAGATGTGATGTTGGCTTTGGGTCAGGGGCCATTTTCCTTGGTTTCTGGCATTATCCATGTTCCATGCACCCCGACGCTCCTTGCTGCACCCGAGAGAGCTGGAGGCTCCACGCATCCAGACTGCAATAAAGCACCCTGCCACACACAGTTTCCTCCCCCACAGAAACCCGAGACCACCAGCGGGGCAAGCCGGGGGAACCCATTGCATCTGGTTGCAGCTTTATCCCCGAATGCTGTTGCCTGGGGGGACCTCTTCTGGGATGATGGTGAGAGCCTGGACACCTTTGAGAAGGACAACTACTCCTACCTGGTGTTCAACGTCACACAGGTAGGAGGCCCCTGCACCTGAGAGGAGGCCTGTGAACTGTAGTGATGCATCCCCCAGAGCAGCAAGCCGTTCCTGCCACTTCTGGGACTGCCCAGTGCTGACAGGGGAGTCGTGTACTCCAGCCAGACCTTTTGAGCATTGTGAGCTTCCCTGTAGCTGCTGGGCTGGGGAAGCTGGGAGGCATCAGTCTACAGGTCTGTGCTGGAGCATGGAAAGCCTTGGCATGTCAGGCCCTGGAAGAGGGGCTGCAGGGCAGAGGGGCCTTTTTGGTGGTCTGAGCATGTGGGTGCAGGGGGGTCAGGGATGATGGCATTGTCCAGCTGGGAAGGGAAGGGAAAGGCCTGTCTGGATGGAAGGGGTTTTGCCCTGCACCCTTGGGCATTGCTCATGGGGCCCCGCTCAGCTCAGCTCAGCTGCCCACGCTCACCCTCTGTGTCCTGCCTAGAATGTCTTCACCTCCACCGTCCTGCACGCCAATGTGGAAGCCACCTACGTCACTGTAGACACGCTCACGGTCTATGGGGTCCGGGGTCCGCCCACGAGAGTCACCATCAATGGTGAAGAGCATCCCTTCTCCTACCTGGACAACCAGGTAAGCCCAGCCCTGTGTTTTCTGCACCGCCAGCCCCACCCCTGCTCTCCACGAGCACCCCTGGCTGTCCCTTATGTGCCGCACTCCAGGCCTGCTGTGATGTGCCAAAGGGCAAACACTGTATCCCTTTCAGCCACAGGCCTTGCCCCATGCATGGGGTATTAGCCAGGGCACTTCACCTACCTCAGGGGACAGGTTGGAGCTCCCAGTAGGGGGAGCTGGGAAGGAGGAGGGGTGCTGTGTGGCTTGAGCGGGGCGCTGGGAGTCAGGACGTCTGGTTTCCATTCCAGCTCTGCCTCCTGGGAACACAGGGAGACCAATTCATTGTCTGGGGGCTGCTCTGCTGGCTGGGACTTCCTGCCCAGTCCTGCTGAAGCAGTGAGAGTCTTTTGATGCCTTTCTGCCTCGCAGCCCCTCCCCAGCCATCCAACATCTCAGCAACGTGGCACCTGCTGAGCTAGAGCCCCAGGCCCTGGGAGAGGGGCTTTGGGCTAGAGTCCTGTTTGAGGGGGTGCTGAGTCCCCAGGGCCTTGTCTGCCCTCCTTCCTGTGCTTGCACAGGCCAGGCAGAGAGAAGCGGTCCTTCATCTTGTTTCCTTCGTGCCTCACAGGTGCTCACGGTGAGCAACCTTCACCTCAGCCTCAGCCAGGGCTTCTCCATCAGGTGGATGTGAGAGCTGGGGCCTCCCGGCGTGGCCAGGCTGCATCTGGGCACCGGAGGCTTATCTGTCCATCCGTCCGTCCATGTATCCGTGGGGCGCGGGCCTGTGCTTGCATGTGTCTCAGGTGGACACAGACTGGATTCCCAGCTGCTTCCTGCCCAAGCTCCCAGCACTGCCAGCCGGTCTCTACCCCTGCTCCTGCCTTCACCCTGCCGCTGCAGGGGCAGCACGAGTCCACGGGCCTCGACGTTCAGCAGCTCCCCGGTACCAGGGGACACCGCTCTTTGCTTGAGCCCGCAGGGCAGGACACGGACGCTCCAGGCACCGGGCTGTTGCTTCAGGGACCGATGAGAGGCCAGATCAGTTGAGCCTCGTTGTCCGGCTGCACCATGCTGACGTCTCCCGCGCCCCTGGCTTCACCGCCCCCCTGCATGGCTAATCTCCAAGGGCCCCACTCGTGTGTGCGGTGGGGGGAGGGGGTGTTGCAGGCAGCCTGGTGCTCTCCGTGCCAAGTACAGCGTTCTCCCCTTGCTAACGCAGGGGCCGTGCGGGGAGCCCTAGCGTAGACAGGCCTCCGCGGGGCTGCCGGTATTTCCCCCTGCTGGTCCGCTCTGCCCGCAGCGGGTCCTGCTGGGCGGGCGTGGGTGGAGACGAGCTGTCCATGCCCCCGCGATGCTCTATGCCAACCCAATAAAGGCAAGTGGAGACCTGCTGTGGAGCCGCGCTTGTGTGTACGCATCCGCGAGGGGGGGGACACAACGGGCCTGGCCTGCGGGGCCGGCGGAGGGCATCCCAGTGCCCCAGGATCACACACACACACCTGCCCCCCATGTGCTCCAGGCTCTGCCAGGGCCAAGGAGCCCTCCCTCCTGCACAGCCTGCAGCTCCCACCGCCGCCCACCAGGTGTCGCTGCAGGGGAGGGTGCCTGTATCTCCTCCGGCCAGACGGGCTCTCCCGGCCGCGGGGGGCACTGTGGCGAGCGGGAGCCGGAAGTTCCGCTTGTGTTTTGCTTCCGGGTGAAGGAGAGAGGGTGGGCTTCACTTCCGGCGGGGTGCAGCCTCCGCTTCCGGCGCCGCCATGAACCGAGCGAAGGCGGCGGGGGCGCGGCGGCCCAGCGCGGCAGCGAAGCCCTCGGGGCACCCGCC